TCATTCTCTCATAGTTGTCTTTCGGAATATGGCTCGGATGCGTTTCCTTTTATTGATTCCGATTATTATTCATAAACAGTTTTGCATTGAATATTTTCTCCCAACGTACACACAAACACACACAGAGTCACACATAGATATACACATAGTCTGATACAGAACGCTCATATGTGTGTGTATATGCTTGTGTCTGTGTTGAAAGAATATCAATAGGTCTGTACTTTAATGATTTTTTTTTATTTTACACAATAAATATTTACTTTTCAGCATAATCTTCTCCATTGTCAATGCACTTAATTCAATGCGGATTGTTAATACTATTGATCGAACATTATATAGAGAAAATTTCAGATCAAAATCCAGTTAAATATTACTTGCCTGGTCGGCATGACAACATCTGTCCAGTTATTTGATGTCAAATATTTTATTAGTCTAACTAACCATTAAGAAATAAATTGTGTCAGACTACAAACTTGATCCACGTCATATATATATATATATATATATATATATATATATATATATTCACACACACACACATATATATATATATATATATATTCACACACACACACACGCACACACACATATATATATCTATATAGATAGATAGATAGATAGATAGATAGATAGATAGATAGATATAATAAAAAAATAATAATAATAATAATAATGATGATGATAATAATAATAATAATAATAATAATAATAATAATAATAATAATAAAATAATAATGAAAATCTTGATAATCCATATGGATAATCAATCCCAAGGAGGATGAAATCCGGATAGCTCAATGTTAAATTAAAGCGAATTTAAAGAAAAACAAACCACTTTAAGGTTCCATTATTATAATTTATTTCACCAGAGAGTTTTGGATCATCAGTCCTCACTTCGAATGATGAATATATATATATATATATATATATATAATCACTTATGTATAATCCCTGATGTTATTCATTTTTAATGAAACACCGGTTCTCGTAGGACCACCGAAGTTGATCAACGCTGAGCCTGGTCACTACATAGACGGGTGACCGCTTGCGAATATTAGGTGCTGTAAGCTTGGATGTGCAGGTGGTGTAATGGATAACGGCTTAGAACTGGAAATCGGAGAGCAGAGTTCCAATTCCAGTGGGGTTCATTATAGTCACTTACGCGCAAATCGCCTTGGGATAGGCAGAAATCCACTTCTTCTCCCCTCCAGTTATGGGTTAATTAGTAGGGCTTATATTATTACAAATCATTATTATTTTTACTATCAAAAAATATTTTCTGGCTTTAAATAACCGGCAGGTTGATAAGCTGTAAAAAACAAAATCAATCGATCGATCTAAAACCACATTCCTTATGAGAATCTTGTATGTGTGATCAGCTATTGTTAACTTTTCGCTTGTTGACCGAGATAGTTGTGCGTCTCCTACTTATACCTGTTGACGGTGTTCAATCCCAGGTAAAAGACCCGATATCAAACGCTGATTTTTGGATCAGCATCTAGCATTGGGTCGATTGGTGCATGTCCCCTTTCTGTTTTTTCCTTCTTTTTTTTTTTTTTTTTTTTGCTATACCTAACCAAAGAGAATAAATAGGAAGTTGTGGAGTGCCATGATCGCCTACGTCCTGAAGGGACTGAGGACATATAAGACGAAACCAAACTCGAGAATCTATTGAAAAATGTTAACACGACATGACTATTCTGGAGCAATCGATGTGTCTTAACAATATAATTAATTCTTTTCCTTATTTAATTTTGATTCGCCGTTGTGTGTGTCTGTGTGTCTGAATATGGTTATATATGTTCATATATGTGTCTATGTTGATCTCTTCGACGTGGTGTAATGGTTAACAAGCGTGACTCCCTAGATCAAATTCGACTGAGTAGTGAGCTCGAACCTCACTGTATGCTCCGTATGTTCTGCTTCGTTCCACAACTAAACTACGCTTAGCAAATAGCTAATGTATTTATGGGAGTATTTCATTTGTCTGCTTGTTGATGTTGTGGTTAATCCGGCCACGCGTGTGTATATGTGAAAGAGATACCGGAAAATAGAGGGTCTAGGTGTGTGTGTCTCTTTTTGGTTGTTGCGTTACATCAATGTATGTACATGTGCGCGCATTTTTTTCAGAGAGAGTATCTATATGTGTGTCTGTTTTTCGTGGTTGTGTTTAATCCACATGGATGTGTGCGTGTGTCCAAACACATGAGGAGTCCATCTTTTACCTTCTTTGTTTTTCGTTCCTTCCTTAAGATGCATTCGATACAGAATCAACGTAAAAATCTACATTAGAACCAAATGACCACTATATAGCTGTTGTTGTGACAGTTAAAATAAAATTAGAATATTCAATATTTGACTAAAATGGATGGAAAATCTACTTTTTAAAACTTTGTATATTATGTATGACACATATAGACGAGTTGATTTATCTTAAAACTATATTCGGCATCCGAAGAAACGTGTATATACAAAATTAGAACTCTAGCTTAGGTTTGTATACTAAAATTTACTCAATACAAGGCTTAAGAGCCATTAAGGTAGAGGGTTACTGTTAAAATAGTAATGAGAAATGAGGTGGTTCATATGAATGAAAGTGTGGTAGGAGGTGAAATTTATGAGGATAAGGGGGATAGATAACGATTGACAATCAACTTGAAGAAGTTAAGGCTATAGTGTCCAGAGAAGCATGTACGCGTGATTATCTTCCATAAAGTAGCAGTTCTCTTGAAAAAAATGGTCTGAGTTCCTTGTGTTTAGAATATGGGGTAAATGAAGGTGATTCGTGTCCGTGAAAGTAGTATTAGGTGCCCTAAAGATCTGAACTGGTGGAAATAAAAAATGGAGTTGATCTAAACATTTACCATGGAAAGAACGATAGTGTAGCGTCAGACTTGACATAAAATGTCGCTTCTGTAAGAAAGTTTCCCCCCACAAAATCACTAAACGATTTTTTGCCCTATCAAAGCACCCTCAGCCTAGATATGGCAACAATGATGCATCTCTGTTCTAATATGACACTTGTAAAGATAAAAAGTAGTTTGCACTTCGCGCTAAGAAAAGTCCTTTATTCTGTAGGTAAAATAGCAGGGAAGAATGCTCTATTGCCTTGATTGGTAAACAGTCTAGACAAAGACAACTCTCATGCAAAACCAGAAGTGGAATACTCGTCTGCTCCATAATTTAAAATATTTAGTTTCCTGCAACCTAATTCAGATACACAAAAACACACAAAACTCCTCACCAACTCGCAGACGCCCAGCATAGTGTGGGGCTGGATGCGAGCGGATTTCCTCCTCCGGATAGAAAAAAAGCCCGATAATTATGATGATATTGAAAATGGCGGGAATCTTTTAAAAATAGTTAGGAAGGATATGACCAATGTATAATGATCGATGTGTCATAGTTTCATAGAGTCACAATCAGAGCCTTGGATATATGACGGAGAAACACATCACATAACGTCTACCTTGAGTGACTCTTGGGCCTTATATAGGGCGAACATTAGTAAAAAAAAACATCGTGTTTATATAAAAGTTGGTGTGCAATAAACTACAATTGTTTTTCACATATCAGACGAATATGATTTCTGTTGGATCATTATTTTGTTGGTGCACAAACATTCAACAGATGATGGCAGAGAAGATTTTTGTTTTAGTAGACTTCCACTAGTACAAGCCCCAAGAGCCATTCAAGTTAGAGGGCTACTAGATTAGGTGTATAGTGAGCGTAAATGGAATCGTAAGAAATTAAGATTATGAGGACAGATAATGATTGACCATAGAATTGAAGAGTTTAAAACTGTGCTGTTCGGAGAAGCATTTGCTCGGAAAGAAAAGTAAAGGACATTTTATACAGGATAGTAGAAGAAAGCCAGAAAAAAGGACTAACTGCAAGAAGACAGAAGGTATGGTCATCAGCAAGAGAAAAGACCTAAGATGTGAGTTACAAATTGGAGATATAAATATGAAACGAGTGCGGAATTTCAAATATCAGGCATGCGTTTTAACAGAGGATGAAAATGCGACACTAAGATTTGAACACCCATTGGGCGAGTGAAAGAAGCATCCCAAAAGCTAAGGGAATGAGTTGAGAAAACGAAAAAATTCACTATTTACATTATTCGAACTATTGTCTTCATCCTTGTCGCCATATTTGTTACAACGTTTCGGCCGTTGTACGCTCCGGCCTCCTTCAGTTGGGGGAATGGCGAACTAAATCTTTTATTTCGCTCACTGGGGTAGACTGTTCTAATTCCGTGTGCCATGTTTTAATGAATGTCTGATATCAGATATCTCCTTTTAATTCCCCTCTCCAAGATCTCCACTGCCTTAACCGGGTATTGAACTCACATCTTTGGATCCTGTTACTGGATCTAACTAACGCCTTTATCCACTGTGTCATGTGTGTAATAAATATGGTGACAAAGGTGAGGACAATAGTCCGAATAATGTAAATAATGTACATAATACCTCATCACAGAAATATAGACAGACACTGTAATAAAAGGCCGAATAAACATTATAATAAATCTCAGAAATATAGACAGATACTGAAAGGCCGAAATGGCAACAAAAGATAAATATGGTGACAAAATGAGTCGAATAATGTAAATATTGTACATGAAAGGCCGAAAATATCTCATCTCAGAAATATAGACAGATACTGAAAGGCCGAAACGTTGTAATAAATATGGTGACAAAGAATAATGAGTACAATAGTCCGAATAGTGTAAATATTGTACATAATACCTCATCTCAGAAATATAGACAGATACTGAAAGGCCAAAAGATGAGGAAACATTGTAATAAATATACCTCATGTCAAAGATGAGGACAATAGTCCGAATAATGTAAATAGTGTACATAATACCTCATCTCAGAAATATAGACAGATACAGATACGGAAAGGACGAAACGTTGTAATAAATATGGTGACAAAAGATGAGGACAATAGTCTGAATAAAAAATTAGTGTACATAATACCTCATCTCAGAAATATAGACAGATACTGAAAGGCCGAAACGTTGTAATAAATATGGTGACAAAGATGAGGACAATAGTCCGAATAATGTAAATAGTGTACATAATACCTCATCTCAGAAATATAGACAGATAATGAAGGAGAGATTTCGTTAGGAACAAAGAAAAAAAGTGATGGATTGCTGTGTTTCACGCATGCTCTTATATGGTGGTGAATGCTGGACAATCTCCTCACGGATGAAGAGAAAACTAGAGACAGCAGAAATGTGGTTCTACAGAAGGATTCTGAGAATTCCGTGGACGGAGCGAGTAAGCAACAGGAAAATCTTAAAGAAAATGGCAACAGAAAGAACACTTATACTCAGAATCAGAAAACAAGAACTGAAAACCCTTGAACAAATATTGAGGAGGGAGGGCTTCGAAAACTTAATCCTCACGGGACATACTGAGAGTAAGAAAGATAGGTAAAAGCTTCAAGCCACTTATCTGACGAGTTTGTGTGAATGAATGGCTGAACGGTGGTGGGTGGGTAGCATTAATAAAGTAAGAAAAACTGCTAAGGGACACAAGAGATGAGATGTTGTAGAGAGCCATGATCACCTATGTCTTGAGGAGACGCGAAACTTCTGGAACAATTATAATGCCCCGTCTCTGCATAGCGATATATAAGAATACTACTGTACTACTACTGTACTGATGCGGCATTCACCCTGGGCGGATTGAGCCGGCTTCTTCCTGTTATAAGAAGATTCTTGGGATA